CGCCCCCCCATGGACCCCAGCCGGGCCTCCATCTGCCCCCACCAGAGGAGGAGCGTGGGAAGAGCCTGCCCCACGGGCCTGTCCCCGGGCTGGAGGAGCAGTCAGGGGCATGGAAGGGGCACAGGGGATCCAGAAGAGCCACCCGCCCTGAGCCCCGGGGCCCACCGTCACAGCTCCACGGGCTCCTGGGCACACTTGCCCTTGCCCATCACTCGCTGGCCTGGGTGCCGTCCCAGCCGCGTACCGCGTGTGTCGGCAAGGCCTCCTGCTCAGCCCGGGCCCCCAGCAGAGAGACAGCGACAAAAGAGGTAGGCGGGGGCCCCGCCAGCGGGGTGCTGCTGCAGACCCAAGTCCAGCCTCCCATCTGCCCCGGGGCCCCTCCCGCCTCTCCACCTCCCCGGCCCTGGCGGACGCCGCTTAAGTCTCTGTGGAGAGCCTCTGCTCTCCCAGCTCCAAGGAGGAAGTGCTGGGGCGTGGCCCCTACGGGAGGCTGCGGAAAGGGGGCTCATGCCACAGAGCTCGGCACCTGCTTGCCTGGCACAAGACAGGTGCTCCGTGCGTCAGGATCCAAGGCCGAAAGGACCAGCCTGGGAAGCTTGGAGCCCAGGGCGTGGGGCGGAGCAGCACGGCGGCGCACAGGCAGTGCGCGGAGGGGCGTGACCCCACGAGCCCAGATCCCACCACCTGACCTCCCCGCCCCCTCACCTATGAGCAGCCAGTAATTCCTCAGGTCGTGGAGTCGGTGCTTGCCCTTGAGGCCAGGGTCGAACTTGAGGTCCGTGCTCGGCGTGATCACACACTCCCCCTTGTCCCCGACAGTGACGCCGTCCGTCTGTGGTCCTTCCAGCAGGGGAAGCGTGCTGCCGCGGGGCTGTGGGGAAGCTCCGTGAGGCCGGGAGCCCCTGGGAGGCCCGTGGCACACGTGCCCAAACCGCCCAAGCCCCGAGACCCTGGGTCACACCTCCACAGATCGCCTGAGCCCAGAGACCCCTTGTCACACTCCCCTAGACTGCGCCGTGTCCTGAGCCCCCAGGACCCCAGGCCCCCTGAACCCTGAGCCCCTCCATCGCACCTCCCAGACGGCACCGAGCCCTGAACCCTGCCATGCCTGAGCCAAGCAGCTCTAGTGTGGGGCCGGCTGGGATGGCCCCGGGGCAGGCAGGAGATGCTGCCCTGTGGATGTGACTCTTCCTGGAGTCGGGGTCTGGGTCTGGGCAGGAAGGGTGTGTGGGACTCGAGCTGCGGGATGACAGCAGACACGTGCGGAGGGGACAAGCAGGCCGGCCACAGGCCGGGGGCTGCACAGGCGGGACAAGCGGGCCTAGGCAATGCCAGCCCGATGGTAGGGGCTATCGACCGCCTCGTGGGGACAACAGACAGCACACACCGTAAGGGTCAAGGCAGCAGCTGGCTTAAAGTGCTCCAGAAAGACACCAGGGACAGGCTCAGAGGTAGGGGCTTAGAGACAGGAGGCGAGAGAGAGTAGCTCAGAGACGGAAGGCGAGAGATGGGCCGAGAGGCAGGGGCTCAGAGACAGGAGGTCGGAGACAGACAACGAGAGACAGAAAGTCAGGAACAGGTGAGAGACAGGAGGTAGGGGACGGGGCTGAGAAACAGGGGCCCAGAGACAGGGACTGAGAAGACAGTCCATTTGAGGCAGGCTGTTGGGCCCAGGAGGGCTGGACAGGTCACAGAGGATGGGACAGGTCTGAGGAAAGAGGACAGGCACTGGAAGTATGGGACAGCCTGAGCGATGGCTCTGAACAAAGATGCCAGGGAGGCCTAGGGCTAGGGGGCTTTAGGGTAAGGGAGCCTTGGGCCGGGAGCTCGGAGGCAGGAGCAGGTGCCCTTGGCTTGGCCAGCCACCCACAGAGCCAGCAGGGCGGAGTGAGGACGTGGTGGGCCTGGACCAAAGAGGCCAGGGTTCAGACGTGACCGCAGAAGCAAAGGGGCCACAGGGCTTCCGTGGCTGGGAGGCTGCTTTGCCATGCCTCTAAGGGAACGTGCACACGCAGGCCCTGTGTCTGAGGATCCAGGACCCACATTTTCACGTTCGGCCCACGGGACGCCACAGATCCTCTGCTAAAAGGAACGGAGGCAGGCAGATGGCCCCACGGTGGACTCACCACAACAGCCACGCCCTCGTGCACCATGGAGGGGGAGGCGTAGAGGCTGGTGGAATACCGCCCGACATACAGGGTGGGCCTAGGAGAGAGCAGCAACTCGTCATCAGGCCATCTGCTGCCCGGAGCCCACAGGCTCTGGAGAAGACCCTCAGCCCAGACGCGCCCAGGATGCGCCACGCCAGCCCTGCAGGACAGTGTGCGGGGTGGGGGTGGGGCCGCCTGGGAAGGGGGCTTCCGTCGCAGCTGCAGGACCAGGATGAGCCCTGGCTTTCTCATCCGGACCGCCTGTGACGGCCTGTGGGAGGCACGCTGCCGGAGACCTCAGGCGCCTCTGCCAAGCCCCGGCGGGCCCTGGCTGCACGTTCCCATCCAGCTTCCCCCAGATCTGGAGCCCACGAACCCCCGCTTCCCCCCAGCACTCCCAAGGTTCTGCAGGAGCCTGAGGGGCCGCCCTGGGCGTGAGTGCAAAGGGACACTTGGAATCCACATGGATGAAGCTCCCCGGCTGGGGGGCCTGTCCCTGAGGGGTGCCAAGGGGGAAAGGGAGCCGGGAGCCACACCTCCAGCCCGCTGGCTCCTGCCTGCAGCCCTTGGGGTCACCTCCGCCGCCCACATGCCTGCGTCTGCTTGGCGTCCTATAGCTAGACCCTGCACAAGCGCCGTCTTCCTCATCTTCCCACACTCTGCGGAGTGGGAAACTGAGGCTGGGTGAGGTGAGGAGTCTCGGTGTGGGTTGTTAGCAGGTAGGGCGGAGGACACAGCCCACAGAGGCTCAGATACACAGCCAAACTCTTCTGCTGATTTTTAAAACGAATATAACTTCTTATGAAAATTGAGAAGACTGAAAAATTTCCCACACTCCTACACCTGAGAGCCAACGGGGGGCATGGCCACCCCCGGTCTCTCCTCCCTGGCCATGAGCGCCGAGTGTCCAGGCTCTGTCCTGAGGCTCCCGCTTGGGCCAGCCTCAGCTCCTGACCTCCCACCAGGCCTCTGGTGCTAGGCACCACATCTGAAAGCTGGTCACGCCCCCACCTGCCCCGACTCACGTCAGCTTGCCCTTAGCCTCCGTCTCCTTGGGGAAGGGGTACTTCCACTTGGTGATGCGCCCCACGTCCCCGGACATGAAGGTCAGGTAGCGCAGCGTCTCCACGGCCACGTTGACGTGCACCACCTTCCTCAGGCCCTCCCGCTGCCACACGTAGAAGGCCACCACCGGGGAGGCGTAGTTCTGGATCCACAGCACGTCCCCGGAGTCGCTGTCCACAGTCACCACCAGCCCGTCGCCGTTAGACACGAAGTGAGACATCTCTGCACAGACCAAGCACGGCGCTCAGCCCCTCCCTCGCATGCACCTGGCGCTCCTGGCAGGCCGCAGGCTGGGTGCTAGGGAATGGGGCTTATGGAGCAACCGCAGCTCTCCTCAGGATGGCGGTTCTGTTTCCATGAACCCACACGGTACCAGCCTGATACTGAGAGCTGCCGGCTGGAAACACAGGTCGGGCCTCTCCCGGAGGCCACAGATGCGGTGCGCTTCTCACCCCTCCAGCGAGGCAGGACCAGGTTGGGAGCCAGAGGGAGGCAGGCTGGAGGGGGGAGCCAGGGAAGAGGGACGGAGGGGACTGGGGGGAGGCAGGACGGAGGGGCAGCCCACGAGACACTGTCCCTCAGCCTCGCACAGCACTCTCCTAAAACCCCACATAAGCCAGAGTCAGCCCTGAGCCCCCAGAGTCCTCGAAGACTCGCGGACACATCGCAGGCCCCAAACGGAAGGCGGCAAGCCTGAGACTAGCATGTGGATGGCACGACCTGGTTTCCACTTGGGGTGTCGACCGGAGAGCAGCCGGTGTCACTGGAGAATGGCCCCGCCTACAGGCTCCGCACGAGGCTCCTGACCCTCCCTCTCCACAGGACCCCAGGGAGCGCCTCCTTTCTCGAAGCTGCCCATCTGCGTCCTGTGTCGGCTTCCCTAACCCACCCGGCTCCTGCCCGCTGGCCCCTGCCACCCCGCCTGCGGGAAAAGAGCGCCGCAAAGGCTATGGGGGTCTAGAACCGTGACGCAGCGTCTGAGGAAGCCCACTCTGACACGCCCCTGCCTCGGGAGCTTCAAGGCACTCACTGTAGGCCCCGTCATCCTCGGGTGGCGAGGCTGCATAGTCAAAGTAGGTGGCATTCCAGCGGAGCTCCCGGGTCTTGGTGTCGTACATGGTGATGGTGTACTCTGGGGACACAGACCTGCTGTCACCATAGGGCCACGCCCACCAAGCGCTGATGCATCGGCTCTCAACGGTAAATCCTCCTGAATTGCTGTGGGAGCCTGGGCTGCCCAGCGGACACACAAAGGCATGTGGAGGAGATGGAAGCTCCAGCCCCATGCATGCAGCAGAGACGGGCCACCCTGCTCTGCCTTGACTTGGGGCTTGCGGGGTTGTGAGCGGCAGCCAGCAGCCACTAAGCTCTGGGCCGCTTGCTCTATGGCACCAATCGCTGATATTAGAAGCTGGGCCCGAGAGGTGGAAAGGCAGTATAGCAAAAACCCAATGCGGCACCCACTCTGGGACCAGCCGGCACACACAGCTGGAAGGCTGGAAGGCCTCCCAGAAGTCTCCCCAGTGAGGGGGGCTGGGGAGGGGTGAGGAGGGCACCGCTACCCAGGGGGGAACGGGGGAGCCGGTGTGTGCCGGGGCCACAGTGACACAACAGCTGCTCACGGCGACTTGGGAGATGGAACGAGCACCTGGGAGCTGAGAGTCTGGCTAAGGAGACGCCCGGGCAGAGGGTGGGGAGGGCAGGGGCTTCTCTCAGCCATGCAGGACATGCCGAACCAGAGCTGGGGAAGAAGCCCTCGGCTGCAGAGCAGAGGCTGAAGGAAGCTTTTGGCTCAGGACCGACTCTGCAGTTGGAGACAAGGGGCCTAGGGCAGAGGCCACACCTAGGCACTGTCAGTGAGGAAGGCCTCAAGGTCAAGATCAAGCCCAGGCTGAGGCTACAGGGCCCTTCTGGGAGAGCCTGCAAGCCCCTAGCTCGGGAGGGTTCCCGGAAACACAAGCCCCTGTCCTGAGCACGGACTCCTGAGCAGAGACGTGTGGGTCTGGCTTCCACCTCACGGGGTGGATTGCGACTGGACACACAGGAAGCCCAGCAAGTTTTTACAGGAGTCATGCTAGCATGGACTAAAAGGATTCAACAGACGATGAGTAAAAACGGCTCCAGACCCCCGGCTCTCACTGGGCAAGGAGGTGGAGAATGCTACAAAGCCAGCCGTTCTACGGGAGAGAGGACGCCTCAGAGGACAGAGCCAAGAGCCCCGAGGGCCACATATCCAGGAGCCAACCCAAAGGGCAGAACCGGGGCTGGTGCAGGAGAATTATGGCTCCAGGAGGAGGCCCGAAACACATGCCACCGGGTCTCAGGAAGACCAGGACGGTCCCCTTCCCTCCCCTGAGCGGGACACCTGCGGCCGCCCCGTCTCTGTCTCACCATCACCTCTGGTGGGGAGAGGGACAGTGGGAGGAGGCCCTTCACTCAGCCTCCAGGCCGGGAGGAGCTGTCCTGGGGAGCCCCGTGCACCCCAACCGGACGTGATCACAAATGCTGGGGGTTGGGACTGAATCCCCGGAGGGCACGTATGTGCTGCATGTGGGGGGCTGCATGCTCCTATAGCCGGTGGGGGGCTGTGGCAGGACATCAGAAGACTGGTCAGCACCTGTCCACACCGGAACCCACACGTCCCCCTGCCATCAAGGGCATCCACTCCCCACCCATGACGCTGGGCTGGACTGCAGAGACTGCAGGTCCTGGCTTCTGTGCCAGGCCTTCTGGGCACCATGGCACCTGCATCTACATGGGAGGGCCCAGCCATGTGCCAGGAGCCCTGTCTGTGCAGAAGGGTCACAGAATGGTGACCCAGTCAATAACATGGGTCGTTGGGCCCTTCCTGAGACCCCACAGAAGCCCAAGTTTGAGAGAGAAAAACTAGACCAGGAAGCTGGGCACAACTGTTGTACAAGGCCCTGATCGGGCAGCAGCATGTGATGGCAGCAGTGGGCTTGCATGCCATGCACACACATCCCTCGTGCCAGGCACGGCCCCGCCCACAGACACAAGTCCCCGAGGAACATGTGCTCCAAACACTGGGCAGAGCTGGACCCAGGGGCTCTGCTTCGTGGAAAGGGCAAGCAAGCCAGGCAGGCCCAGCGCAGGAGCTGGAGCACTGCCTTCCACAGGGCGGGGATGGTCCTCCCCACGGCCTTCCTCCTAGTCCTAGGGGAACCTGGCCAGTGTCTCGGTGCCCAAGACCCGCCTCGCCAGTCTTCAGGGCGCAGCCTCCCGCAGCGCATGGGGCTCTGACTTTCCCACTCTGCGGCCACCCGAGTGCTCAGCCTTGAATTCAGTGCTCGGCCATGATGAACGTGCCCAGCTTGCTGGTCTAGTTGTTCTCTCTCAAGCTCTCTTGCTTCTCCTTCCAGTTCCAACCACAGCCCAGCCAGGTTCACATGCCCCTGACACATGTGAGGTGGGGCGGCCCTGGGGCTCGCTCGTCGGCTCCAGTGGCCGACACGCAGGCCTGGCCACATGTTGGTGACATGCCAGGCGAGGGGGCCAGCGGAGGAGGAAAGCGAAGCCCTTGGGGAGGCTCCTCCAGGGGGGCGGTGGGTTGGGACGCGCAGTGGCAGGATGGGGGGGAGGAGGCTGAGAGGGGAGGAAACAGGGGACGGTGCGCGCCGAGGGTGCGCGTCACACCTGGGGGGACCAAACAGGCAGCGAGGTGGCCACGTGGGCCTGTGGATGGCCATGCGTGTCCCAGAGGGGACCACCAGCATCCCCGGGCAGGAAAGGACGGCAGCGCAGGAGAAGGGGCTTTGTGAGAAGGTGACTTGTGAGCAGGGCTGCGAAGGAAGAGAGGACACTTGGCACACAGGGAGAGGAGGCGCCCCGGGAGGGCCGGCACGCCGGCCTCAGGCCTGGGGGCGACCTGGAGCTAAGGGAGCACTCCCTGGGGGAGCCTCTGGGGGGGGGAATGCGGGGGGGCAGCTGAGCCCAGGGCGTGGGACACCAGGCACGGGGTCCAGGTGGGGCTGGCGAGTGGTGTGCAGCACAGGCCACACTCTTGGCAATGGGGCCACTGAGGGCGTCGCGGTGGGAGGGACGCGGTCAGGCGGGCTCAGGAAGGCGGTGTGATCCCTCGGAGCCAGCAGGCCGCGCTCCGGGCCTGCTCCTCACCTGTGCGCCCGAGGTATAGGAGGGAGGCTGATGGGCAGAGGCTGTCCGCAAAGGCCGACGACAGGGTCTGCTGCTTCTCGCCGGTCAGGAGGTCGATGACATACCAGATGTCCTGCTTTTTACCTGAGAGTCACAAGGACATGGTGTCGGCGACGCCAGCCCACCCGGAGAGAAGTGTCATAGCCTGCAGCCCAGGCTGAGGTCAAGCGTCAGGCAGAAGACAGCTCCACACAGCTCTGGGGCTGACCACGCGAAGGGTAATATCGAGACAGACGCTGGAGGCCTGGGCCCTGCAGTAATTGAAGAACTTGATCATGGTGTCTCCAAACCCAGTAACGTGATTATAGCAAAAAACATACCCCAAATGTTCAAGGTAGGCCTTATTGCTGAGTATGAAACACCTTGCCTGTGAAAGGCTGTCCTTTACCCATGGACTAGGGGCTGCAGAAACATGGAAACGTGCCCAGGTGCATCTGCTTGGCCACTGTCACTCCTGTTTCTTACATCCTGCTAGCGAGGCTCATGTGAGAAGGCGCCACAGTCACTGACAGGACTACCCCCAGTCAGAACCCGTGACTGCTCCGTGGAGCTGGCTGAGGCCCATGCCAAGGAAGCCCAAGGTGTGTCAGCCTCTGTCCCCAGTCAGAAGTCACTCCCTGCCACAGGCCACATCCCTCATCTTGGCTGGCTGGTAGAGACGAACAGGCAGACAGTGCAGTAGATGAAACAACACTGCTGGAAAACCCAGGCACCTGTGTCCAGGGTACACGCAGACACACATCCGGCCACAGTGCGTTGGGCCTCCACTCAGGAGGTCACACAGCCACTGTGACGTGTGGGTTGCTACCTTGTAAGGCGTGATCTCTGGTCATCTCCACCTTTCTAACTTACATCAAAGTCTCCCACCTCCCGGGCCTCTTGGAAGCATAATATTGAGATACCAGTGAAGGCCAGTGGGCATTAGGCTTGGCTAAAGCGACACTTTGTTCTAGTGGCACAGCACACGTGTTTTCTCCGTATGTGCAGCTTACCCACAGAAACTCTCTGTTCTCATTGATGCAACTTTTTTTTTTTTTTTTTTGAGACAGGGTCTGGTTCTGTCTCCCAGGCTGGAGTGCAGTGACATAATCACAGCTCACCATAGACTTGACCTCCTGGGCTGATGCAATCCTTCTACCTCAGCCTCCCAAGTAGCTGGGACTATAGGAGTGAGCCACCACGCCTGGCTGATTCTTTAATTTTTTCCAGAGACGAGGTCTCACTATGCCGCCCAAATTGGTCTTGACTCTTGAACTCAAACAATCATCTCGCTCTGGCCTCCCAAAGTACTGGGATCATAAGCCTGAGGCACGGGGCGCAGCCTGGCCATCTTAACATGAAAAAGTTCTGACGTACAGCGAAATGTCGCCCAGCAGCTGTGACCCTGCGCCCTTTCCAACTGCAGGACACACCTTGCTCCTTCAAGCGCCACTGCCGTCTGCAGAGCCAGCGACTGCCTTCACGAGCAGGCAACTAGCACACTCTCACATATGCTGAATGGATGCGCTTCAGAGGACCCCACCCAGAGACGGGGAGCACCATGCCCTGAGTGGCCACGGGTGATGAGCCGCTGGCAGAAGCTGGAAGACCAGGTGGGAAGAGGGACAAGGACGGTCAGAAGATGGCTCTGTGTTCTCGGGGCAGGGCCTGGAGGAGGGAGGCCCGTGCTAGTCACCTCCTCCAAGTCCCCAGGCTAGAGGTACAGGAGGAAGAAAGCCCCACTGTCCCGAGCAAAAGCTGGAAATGGCCTGCCCTGGGGATCTGGGAATCTACCCTGTAGACTCAGGATCCCACTGTGGGGACCCAGAGACCCCGCCGGGAGACCCAGGAACCCTACCCTGGAGTCCTGGGACTCCACAGAAAGCCCCAGACACGAACAGACAATAAGCACTCTCAGTTCCTCAGAAAAAAAGCTACCATCTAAATACAGGTGCTCTTACCATGATGGTTTCAAGGTAAATACAGCCCTGGGGTTACAAACACATTTTTGTGGGCATATGGCAGCAATGGGGTGAGAGAAAAGCAAGCAACCCCGGGGCTTGAAAGCTGCAGCCTGTGCCTGAAGGCCTTGCTCAGCACTGTCAGACACTGCTTCTGTCACACTCAGGCAGCAGAAAGTACGGGAAAGGCCCTGGGCGGACGGGCAGAGCCTGGCTGCCTTCCCGGCCCAGACAAGCGTGTGCGCTTCACGCTTCATGCGGTTGCCCCTGGGATGTTGCAATCCCGCAGTTGCAGGACGGGTCAACACGGCGCTTAAGGCCTGTGAGGTGACTCGCTGGGGGAGGAGGCCAACCGTCCTCCCAAGTGGGGCCCCTTTCCTAGCTGCCTCAGAGTCTGGGGAGAACAGCCCCTGTAGCACACCTGGGCGAGGAAGGCCCTGCCCAGAAGCCCCAGCAAGGGCGTGGCTGCACCGTGCCTGGACAGGTCCTATTCGGGCCCAGGCCTTTCCCTGGAAGAGACCATGTCCTGAAGTGGAAAGCAGGGAGTCTTACCCATGTAGAGGATACCATCTGAGCTTCGGCACGGGGACGCCTGCACCAGCTCCGGGATGGTGAAGGGAAGTTTCTTCAAAAAAAAAAGGAACACATAAGCAGGCAAGTCTTGTGCAACAACTACCGTGTTTCTGGGTCCCTGTTTCTATGACCCAATTCTGCTAAAAGAGAGCAGCTCTGGGAAGGCGGGCTTTCCTAACCGGACACCAAGGGGAAGGGGGATCCTCTGCTCCAAGGTGCAGCTCCTGCAGCCCTCAGCGACCATCCCACTAGCTCCTTTACTTGACGCCACACGGAGTCCCCAGGTTTCCTGTCCAGAGCCTCCGGGCTGACGCCGCCATCTTCTGGAAAGACCCACACAGATATGGATCACATGTTCTAAGGGCGGGAGAAAGGCCCAGGGCTGGCCAGAGGGACCGACGAGGCTTTCTTGAGCGGGAGACCCAAGGGGCTTGCGCTGCAGACATGAGTTGGCTCTGAACTACACTTCAGGGCAAGAGGGCAGCATTCCACGGCCACACTGCGCTGGGGTGGAAGATAGGTCGCAGTGATTTTTTCAGTACACAATTCTCTATTGAAAAACAGAAGGAAAACCAAGTCTTCTGGCCTTACACAGGAAATCGTGGCAGGCACAGGAAAAGAAACTCACAGGCACCTGACACGTCACCACGTTTCAGCACAGAGCAGACTCCTCTGTGCCCACAGCTGACAGCTGATGGGTCCCTCTGGCCAGGTTTATTTTTGGAACACTGTGTTCTTGAAAATGCTCTACAGACACGGACTTTGCAGAGACCCTAGGTTTCTATGGCACCATCACCTCCTCCAGAAAGGAACCATTTCGCACTAGCTTCAGCACAGAACTTCAAGTTCTGGTCCACGACTTGGATTCCATCGTCATCCCGACATTCAAACCGCCGTGGAGGAGGAAAAGCACCGAGAGGCTGTGCCACTGGGTTGTCTGGCCATCCTGACAGCCAGTGGCGGCAGGTTCCAGTCTGCAGTCCTGTCTCTGCCAAGTGCGGCCAGGCATCCCGACCTGAGCCCTCACCGGGAGACGCGCTGGCTGGAGCATGCCTCGCGCCGTGCAACGGAGCACAGGTGGGAGGCGCCCGTCTAGGGCCCCTCCAGCCGGGGTCTGGCCCTGCACGTTTGCCTTCAGGCCCGTCTCTCCCTCCACGTCGCGACATCACCACAGGCAGCTGAGAGACTGAGGCCACCCGAGAGCTTCTGCTCACGGCATGCTTACGAAGTAGGCATGGTGATGTGGAGAAAATCCAGCGAGGCCATCTGGTGAGGCGCGCAGCTCCGTGTCGCCTGTCCCTCTCTAGCAGTCGCTGTCCCCTGTGTCCTAAACTGACTTTCCACACCCGAACTTGAGTCCACCACCCACTTCCACTCTGGGCTAGTGGTTTTCAGCCTCGGCCGTGCAGCAGAATCCTTGGGGCTTCTAGAACTTCCTAGAGATGCACAATGTACAGAGAGATGCACTCGTCGGACAGCTTGGTCCCTCTCATGTGAGCGTACCCCAGGGCTGCACCAGGTGATGCCACTGGCCCCTCCTGGCCCCGATGCACCAAGGCCCTGCGACCCTGACCTCACACCAGCAGAGGCAAGTTCTTTCAGTCTCTGAGCTCCAGGCAGGGAAACTGCCAGGGAGTGGCCTTCTGTTCACCATGCGCTGCCCAGCCCCATTTGTGAATGTCATTTGTGGTGGGCAGCTGGGGCCCCTGCCTGGTGACCCGTCACCCACTCATGTCCCCACCACTGGTGCCGTCCAGCCACTGTCTACGTGCATGCGGCTCATGTTCCTAGTGAGTGCTTGCATGCGTTTCTGCGCCCAGGCCTGCAGCAGGGAGCGTGTTCCAGGCCGCTGAGGTGCACGCCCACCAACAGTGGGGACGCCCTGGGGGGCCACACCCCACCAGGATGCCTTCTCTTTCTCCTCTAGCTATTCTGGTGAGGAGCAGCACGGCCACAGGCTAGTCGTGTTGTGACTTCAATTTGCATTCCCCTAGTGACCAACACCACTGAGTGCCTGGCCAGATGGCTGTGGCCATGTGGATAGCCTCTTCTGCCAATGATCTATGTAGGCTGATGGGAAGCCTTCACTGGGTGTGTGCACTGCAAGTACTCTGTGGCCTTCCTCCTGATGAAGAGTTCACGATTTTCATGTAACCAACGTATCTGCTTGTCCCTAGCTGTGCAGCTAGTGTATTTTTACAGTCTATTCAAGAGATCTCTGTCTGTTCTAAGGTCATGAGGCTGGTCCGCTACTCTCACGCTCAAAGCGAAGCTTTGCCACTTGGCGTTTCACACTCAGATGCGTGATCTTCCTGGACTGGTTGTGGGGGAGGCGGCCAGGTGTTGTTCTGTGTGGACAGCCCACTGACCTAGCCGGGAGGAGACACCCTTCCCCACTGCAGTGTAACCTTCGTCACAGGCAGATGGGCCTGTTTCTAAATTCCTGTATCTGAGGAGCTTGCACAAAAGCCGGAGTTGGGCGCAGCCCAGAATGTTCCTGAGCTCCCAGGTGTTACAGCGTGTCTGGCCGTGTAAGGCTGAAAACCACCATTCTGCTTTCTCCAGCGGTGATGAATGTGGAGTTCCATGTGCCTCCCCGACGGAGACAACTGGGGGTAGACTGCCACACCGCACCCCTCTCTCCTGAGGTGAGGGCACCAGCTGGAGCAGGCCCTGCTACCAGCCGGGCCACAGAGCCTGCGGCCCTGCGTCTGTGCTGCTAAGCCTGGCCCCTCACTCACGGGCTCTTGTAGGAAGCTCTGAAGATTTGCAGCGCTCAGGTCCACTCTGGCCCACCTCGATCAGAATCCCCAGAAGCTGGGCAACCGCTCCCAGGCAGTCTTGCCATGCAGACACCGGCAAGGATGCCAGTCCGGAAGCCTTGGCGTGTGAAGAAGCCAGATACTCACCGTCAGGCCTTCGCTGTTCTTGCCCCCAAGCGTGTACAGGCTGCCGTCGTTTGGGTCTGGGAGGAAGGCAGGCCTGGAAGTCACAACAGGTATCGAAGGTAAATGACAGCCCAGGACACCAGGCAGAGACCGGTGCCACCACGGTGGGAGCGGCCGTGCGGTGTCTGGGCAGTGACCCCAATAGGGCTGTCCATGGCGCTCTCACTCCAGCCACAGGCAGATCAGTGCCTGTGAAGGTGCTGCTGGACCCACGGAGAGACAAACCCCGGGGAAATCGTGCAAGACACAGATGGCCCGGCACCACCTGGTCAAGCTTGGGCTGTGGTGGACAGTGGGGGATCCTGGAGACCCTCTCAATGTCTACACCGGCTGCGAGCAGAGGTTCAGTGGTCCACGCCAGCAGCAGGACAAGCATGTGCAGCACAACTCTGTCTCCGGCTTTTAAGAAACACTTGTTTTTTAACTGGAGGCCATAAAAGCAGATGCTGACAGTAGACGCCTGAGAGGACGGTGTGGGGTACAGCCTGGGACTCGTGGCTCCCGGGAGCCGGTGCGGCCATCTTTGGTCAAGCCAGCCTGCCGAAGGCTGACCAAGAACTGGAGTCCCTCAGACCCCAGGCCAGCCCTTCCTCTGCTCAGGATGCACCTCGCCTGAGGCCCAGCAGGTGCTACCCAGCCGCCCAAGTACACACCAGCAGCAGGGCACGGGCACTGGCTCTCCCAGGGACACCACAGAAGAGAGGGAGGGGACTTCAGGAGTCCAGACTGGAAACTCAGGCTTCTGCTCGGCAAGGCTGGCCCGGCCTGCGAGGAACGGCCCCCACGGGCTTCGTCCAGCACCCTTGGGGACGTGTGTCCCACTTGCTCCTGTCCTACCTCCAACACAGGCATCTCTGCACTCCCAGCACCAGCCTCGTCAGCGCTGGCTAACAAGACCAAGAATCAAGGCTTAAACACAGAGAGCATCAGACACTTACTCTTCCATGTGCGTTGGGACCTGCAGGACCGGATCTGTGTAAAAGAACAAAGGCACCATCAGACTCCAAGTGGCTCAGTGCCCAGAGGTGACCAAGGCGAGATGCACCTACATGGGACACACATGGAGGGACTTCAGAGAACACACGCACAAAGACGTGTGTGAGCCCTTCGACTGTCATAAGACCACACCAAACTGCCACAAAGAAGCTTGCGTGTACCTGGGGAGTGGTCACAGAAGAGCTGGCCTCCACCCACAGTGGGCAAGGGGCCACAGTGTCCCTGATGGCCTGACCCATCGAGGACTCCCTAACCCTAAATCATGACCTTGTCAGATGCCTGAGCACTAAACATGCCCATGGAAAGCCCAACTGTGGCTTGAGGATAGCTCTGATGGGCGGTGACCAGCATGCCATGACGGTGCTCCTTCCCCCTCAGTCCTTCCTGCATTTCTAGAAAATCAACTCTAAAGATAATGTGGGAAACAGAAAATGCTTTTTGTGCCAAGATGCACAGGCTGCGTTACATATGACCTGACTGTTCAGTCACGTGGGCAGATTCTGGAGTGCCCACTTGGCAGGAGGCCAAGGCTCCTGAAAGGGCCAGCAAAGAGTTAAAGGTCTACATCATCAAGCTCTGGTCTTCAGGAGAGATGTCGTGTGTAGGGTATCCAGTCAAGTGTGGGAAGCCTTCCGTGCACAGAAGTGGGCAGAAAGACCAAAAATGCTAACTGTGATTATCTTTGCTGGACATACAAGCGATGGCCGGGTACAGTGGCTCGTGCTTGTCATCCCAGCACTTCAGGAGGCTGAGGCAGGAGGGTCACTTGAGCCCAGGAGTCTGAGGCTGCAGTGAGCCCTGATCATGCCACTGCACTCCAGCCTGGGAGACAGACCAAGACCCCGACTCAAAAAAAAAAAAAAAAAAAGAAATATAAGTGACTCCCCAACTTGTTCCTTATTTCTCAACATTTTGACAAGAGCAGGCATTGTTTTTTCTTCTTTTTTGAGTCGAAGTCTCACTCCGTCACCCAGACTGGAATGCAGTGGCACACTCATGGCCACCCCAGCACTGACCTGCGGGATCTAGAGATCCTTCCAAGCAGTCAAAACTACAGGTGTGCACTACCATGCCTGGCTAATTTATTTTTTGTAGAGACTAGGTCTCACCAAGTGCCCAGGCTGGTCTCGAACCCACAGGCTCAGGCAATCCTCTCGCCTCGGCCTCCCAAAGCGCTGGGATTACAGGCTGAGCCACGGAGCCCGGCCAGCATTGCTTTTTAACTTGGGGAAACTTTTTTCCCTCAAAGTCAGTTTGGCATTTGTCAGTAGCTTATGGCAGAATTTCTCTCTCCCAAGAGTCTCCTGGGTGGGTGGGGGCGGGAGGGTGCGGACACAGCACCACAGCAACAGAGCAAGTGCCCACAGCATGACACTCGCAGGGGAACGTCTCAGGGCCAAACCCCACAGGCCGTCCGGCCCCATGGTGCAGGTCAGCAGCCACACGTAGAGGCCAGGCCCGGTGGGTTCTGCCTCTGGTGACAGTTGGGGTTTGGCTCCCTGGCTGCGAGGGACATCCCTCAGCCCCGTTGCAGGGTGACTTTGCTGAGAAGCTCGCTCCAGCATAGGCCACTGGGCTCACGGGACAAACGCACATGTCCAGGCACGACTCATGGGCAGCACACGGCCGACCTGCTCACCTGACGCATGCAGGAAACGGGGACCCCCAGCAGCACATGCCACCCTCCGTTGCGCGCTGCCCGTCCCTCCCACGTGGCCCGACACGAGAGGCAGGAAACAGGCTAGACACGCCTCCCACCATGGCGGGGAAGGGGCAGTCAAAGCCTGGACCCTGGGCAGGGCGGAATGGCCACTCCAGGGAGACACAGAAGAGAAAGGGCCTTTTCTCTTCGTCTCTGCTGCCTGACAGGGCTCAAGATGGATGACGGCGAGGGGGCGTGGCCAATGCTAGCAATTCACCAAAAATGACACAGAGACCAGTGTGGCTTCAGTACCTATCCACATATGCCAAGCCCAGGTCCCCTGCTCTAGCCCTGCCCGGACAGGTTCCTCCCCAGAGACCCTCAGCCCACCACGGATCTATGCCAGGTAGGAGGGAGCCAGAGCCCTCAGCAGCCAGGTACACCTGTCTCCCCCTGAGCCAGCGGCCTCAGGCTCCAGCCCCGGAAATGCCTTCTGGGAACTGGGCCTTCCAGAGCCTCTGCGGCCCCCTGCACCTGCCCAACAGCAGGGACCGCGGTGGTGCTCTCGCTCTATCTCCCCACAGGTCTGCCCTGGCACAGATCACACCTGACGTCCCCAGGAAGTCCAGGCATGTGCCACTAGCCAGTGGTTCCAGTTGCCACCCCTGCCTCCCTTCGCTGGGGCCTGTCTGAGATGCCCCCCACACCGAACAGTGCTGAACGGGACAGGGACAGAGACGAGAAGCGTGTTCCCTCCCTCCCGTAAGAGGCCTGCTCTTACACCCCCGCCTTTGACGAGCACTGAAAAAAACTCTGTTCACAACTGGTCTCCACTGTGCAGTGTCTGCCCAGCCTCAAGGGGCCGTCTCCGATGCAGACTTTCCTGGCTTTCCTTTGCTTTGTGAGACAAGACCTCCCTCTGTTGCCCAGGCAGAGCGCAGTGGTGTGATACCGCCTCACTGCAGCCTTGACTGCCTGGGCTCAGGTGATCCTCTCACCGCAGCCTCCTGAGTAGCCGGGACTACAGGTGTGTGCTACCACACCTCGTTAATTTTTTTGCTTTTTTTCCTGCAGAGGTGGAGTCTCACTATGTTATCCACAGTGGCCTCGTACTCCTGGACTCAAGTCATCTTCCTGGCTCAGCCTCACAAAGTACTGGCATCCCAGGTGTGCGCCACCATGCCCGGCCAGATCTTCCTGGTTTGCTGTAGCTCGGTCACTGGCCACCAAGGCTTCTGGTCCCAAGATAGGCCCTACACCAGAAAGGGTCCAGCAAAGACTGGGGAGTTCTCCTGGGACGCCTTCATCACGAGTCACAAGCAAGACCCTTCCTGGGCTTGTAAGGAGGCCAGCTCAAGCTGGAGGGTCTTCTGGTCACCCAGGGAAACAAGGGACCAGAGTGAGCCCACAACACCGCAGGCCAAGGACAAGCACGGCCCCCAGGACAGCTGTCCCAGGGGAAAGTGGGGCTGGCATGACTCCATGCACCACACGCCCTACCCACAGCCCGGGAGATGTGCTGGCCCGCCTGCTCGTGCCCACCACAGGAAACCGCCCAGCAGACCCCACCACTGACCCTTCCCTGCCCACGGCGCAAGCCAACGGCTCCCGAACTGTCTAGTTTCATGGTGCCCGGGTGTCTCGGTCATTTCTTCACCCCAGGCCATCAAAATACCTACACATTCCATTTATTAAATAGTCAGGTACACTCAAATTCTAAGTATTCATGGCCTAGCAACTTAGAAGCCACGTGGGAAAGATACAAGCCAACAGGAAGAAGATGGTTCACTTCATTCCTTTTTTCCTCCATTTCATTCCTAAACATAATTACTCATGGTGGGATGCGTGTGCCCTTGGGCCGCACAGTGCCTGAGCCTCCTGGTGACACTGGCCACTGCCACCTCGTGACATCCCGTGCTGATCTTCATGTGACATCTGAGTTATGGCATCGGCTACCAGACACAGCTTGACAGTGATGTCACATCACAACAGGACAGCACAGCCCCAGGTGGGGACAGCCCCAGGTGGGGACGCCTGCCGAGTGTCACCATGTTTCTTGCAAAGCTCTGTAACACACTGTGAGTCCCCGTGGCATCTGCGGCACTTGGCACATGGCTGGGCCCCTTTCCCCTCGGTCCCCTTCTGGCAACACCTCCCCCAGACGCACACATGCCTTGTCTCCACTTGCCTCAACTTGCCTGGCCTGCGGAGTCTGTGTGGACGCACCATTCCCAGGAGGTCAGCACGGGACTGTCCGCTACTCCTGGCATGCAAGCATGAGGCACTTCCCACAGTCCTCAAGGGACAGGGACTGCTTGCACGGGCTCCCCTGGTTCTTGGATATCTACGGGCCGGACTGGATTTAAGTGCATCGACTGGCAGGGACCATCCATTATTGTGAAATAAGCACAGAAGAGTACAGAAAGCTCATGCTAGATAACCAGAGTGGATTCTCATGAACAAACCAAGCAACCATTCGGCTGGGCGCAGGGGTTCACACTTGCAACCCCAGCACTTTGGGAGGCTGAGCAGGACTACCTGAGCCCAGGAGTTCGAGACCAGCCCAGGCAACAAAGTGAGACATCATTTCTAAAAAAACAAAAAAGTGCCTGGCATGCTGGTATGCAACCGTAGTCCCAGCTACTTAGGAGGCTGAGGCAAAACGATTGCTCAGTTGAGCCCGGGAGGTCGAGACTGCAGTGAGTCATAAGCACTGTCACCGCACTTCTCGCCTGGGCAACAGAGTGAGACTCCAACTCAAAAACAAGCAAGCAAGCAAGCAAATAAAAGAGGAAGAAACAGAGCGGACCCCGGGTTCCTGCAGCCTAGGTCGTGCTCCCGCCCATCCAGCAGGCAAGAGTCTGCAGGCGCAGGAGCTTGACACCTGGAGATCTTCGGGACTGCAAGAGAGTGCAGCCACCAAGGCAGGCTTCCTCATGAACAGATTCTTCCACACAGAGGCCTTCGCAGAGGGGGCTGAGGCCAGCCATGAGGCCGGTCCCGCTGGCCCCGCGTTTGCAGTCGTGGGCGCGTGTGCTTGGAGACCACTCAGGAGGGAGGGACTGCAGTGTCGTCACCACTGCAGGGTGGGGACGTGAGAGCTTTGCGATGCTGTTCCCTTCTGGGTGCTGACAGTTTTTCTAAAGGGAGAAGCCAAGAGAAAAAGGGCAGACACTACAGAACAGCAGCTGTTTAAGGGAAACCTTCCCACAGGTGGCAGAAAGTCCTCTTGCTGGCACAGAGGGGCCGAGGGTACCTGAGAGGAGCACAGAGGACCCACAAGGGCCATGCCGGGCTGAGGATGCGGAAAACAGGCTGGCACGTCAGCTCAGTG